GGGCGTTGGTGGGAGCGTGGCTGGCTAATGGGACGTGCGGGGGAGGGAAGCAGCATCGGTAACAAAGAGAGCCTTGCGCATAATGGTTTCCGGGGGTGGCAGAGAGGGTTACATGGGCCCCCCACCTCTTTGACTCGCCCGCGCCCACGCCCCCGGCTGCCTCGGCCGGGCTCTCCAGGTTCGAGGGCATTTCGGCTGGGCTCGTTGCTGGGCAACAGGCAACCCCGCGGCCGCCTCCCCCGCTCGCCTTCTCCCGCCCCCGCTGCTCCTCCTAATAAGGATTTAATTGGTGCATTTTCTACCTTCAGACTGTAAATTGGAAACGGAATAGAGAACAGTGTTCCGCCGTGCCCCAAACCGGCGCGCAATCTGTCTCGAACATCCTGCTCGGCACAAAGCGTACCTCCGCCGGCGGCTGGCACAGACCTGGGGATCCTCGCCGGGACCAATTGCGGAGCTGCTCATTCACATGGAAATCAGCGCTTCAGAAGAGATGTAGGTCGGGTGTGATTGAAGGTCGCACAGGGGAGGCGTGCACCCGGAGCTTCTGGACCGCGGGGCAAGAGATGCGATTGCTCTGCAGCAGCCCCCCACTGTCACGGCCTGGCCGCAGTTTAGACGGTCGCACTGGGTGTTTTCTGTTGTTTTTTAATATTTAAATCACCATCCACTTCCAACTTGGAGGATTTTTTTTTTCCCGTGTGGGGAGAGATCTGGGTCTGTCTTCCCTGCAGGCACATCCGAGGCCACCCCTGAGTAACTGGTTCACGTCTACAGGTGTGGCCATTCTGGACCCAGGAGGCCAGTTTACTAGGTGAAAAGGCTACCTGGGGAGCAGTAGAGAATCTATTATATTTATGAAGCCTTTTTTAAAGAAATTTTTGCTATAGGGCCTGTGCTCAAGCCAGAGAGACAGACAGCGAGAAATCCTCCTGGAGTGTGAGTGTGTGGGGGCAATGGCCATGTTGCATTCCCTTCTCCTCCATTCTCTCAGGCAAGCTGGTCCACACCCCCGGCCGAGAGTTTTAAGCCGCTGTGTCGGGACTTAAAACCGTGTGGACTACATGGGAGTCCAGCGACATAACCATTACACCATCTGCTGTTCCTTATTTATGAGATCGTTTTCATGGTCAACCAATTTCTTTCAGAAAGAGGCAATATGGGAAGACAATGGACATGGAGAATTGGCCCAGCTTTATAACTGCGTGTTGAGGGGTGCTTTCAGCCCACCTGCTGGATGGTAGCAGTTTAAGTCTCCAAGTGTGTGTGGGGACTCTAGATCCCATGTGGCCCGCTGCTTTGGAGCCCTGGACCCAGGCCTCCCCCACCCATCCTTGCAAAATGAAAGAGAAGTGGAGAATGGATGGTGGCATGACCATTCCCCATGAGGGGCGCATTCTCACTTTCTGGCTCCCAGCACTGGGTGAGCCCTTGCACCCAGTGACACATATTTTTAATAGGCATCGTTACTGGAACCAGCAGGTGCCGTGATGGTTGAGGCACTGGATCCCACATGGCCAAGTGCATTTGAGGTCCTGGGGACTTGAACATCGCTGGGCACGTGTGTGTGCATACCCAAACCCCAAGCAGAGAATGGAAGAGAAGGAATTGTGGTGTGGCTGTGTCCTCCTGGTGGATGATTTCTCATGTCCCTCTCTCTGTCTCTGTCTCTCTCTCTGGTGAGCACATGTACCCTATGGCAAAAACCTAAAAAGAAAGACATGATTATTTGACTTTTATTTTAGAATGATTTTATTTACTTATTTAAATTTGACCAGAGAGGGACAGAGCAAAAGAATGAGAGGGAAAGTGAAAGCAAGCTGGGACTTGGACCATGGTCGGCCATGTGGGCGTCCAGCATGTAACCACTATGCGACCTGCTGGCCCCAGTGTGACGTTATTTTAACTAAACTGATATTGTACCCAGAACGTGGAATCGTTTCTGTCTTGTGGGGATACATGTTTCTTTGCAGAGTCTATTGTTACTTGTGAATGTAAATACTAAAATGGTAAGAGAAGGGTGACTGTGAAAAGCAAATACACAAATCAGAGCAGCCATAGACCCAGGGGCCCCTGGTAATAGCTCGGCATTGGCAGTTGGCATTGGCAGTTCACAACCGCTGGCAGCTCACAAACCTTCCCACAGCCAGTAGGGGAGTATTTTGTATTACTTTCCAGAGGGAGATGGAGCTTGCAGAAATGGATGATGCGCCCGAGGTCACTAAATGAGTGAATGGCTGAGATAAGACCACCCTGCTTTCTGCAGGAGGAAAAAGAGTCCCAGACCCAGCTCTCCTGGTACACTGAGGCTGGATGGGAGGCCCAGGTTCAGTTCTTGCCCACCCAAAGCCGGCCAGGGTTCACCTGTGGACCTGGCTAACAGGGAGGCCACGACAGGAGGATCACAATGTAAGACCCTTCAAAACCTCTCTTTCTCTTTCTCTCTCATTAAAGAAAATAATATAGGATCCTGCCATTTATTAGCCGTAGGCCCAGACAGGTTACCTACAGTGTCATAAGGCTTCAGTTTTCTCACTTTAAAATCAAGATATTAGGGAACCAGCAGTTAGCGTAATGGCTATGTCGCTGGACTTCCATGTAGCTGACCGCGGTTCACATCTCGGATCCAGTGGCTTAAACTCATGCTGGGCGCATGTGCGTGCGTGCCCAGGATCCCAAGAGGAGAATGGAGGAGAAGGGATTGCGGCATGGCCATCCCCCCAGGGATGATTTCTCGCTTTCTGTCTCTCTGTCTCTGTCTGTCTGTCTGGCAAGCACTCGCCCTATAGCAAAATACCTCTGCAAAAAAAAACCAAACAAACAAACAAAAAATCAAGGTATTAATTGTATATACTATTAGGTTGTGGTTTCTACCTGCAAAGTGTCTAGAACAGTTCTTGGCACTTAATAAGCACAGGTTACGTAGACATGAATAACCCTAGATTTCTATTAGGTAAGTGAGACATGTTCAAAAATAGCTTCCAACCTCCGTTCAAAGAGAGGTAAAAGCCTCACTAAACAGCGTGCTATGGATATGAGTGACACATCTACATCAGCAATTCACTTCTCTTTTAAAAGGAGAGCTTCTCTTCCTTGTGACAATTCTTTTTTTTTTTTGGAGAGGTTTTTGCTGTAGGGCGCGTGAGCTTACCAGAAAGCCAGAGAGAGACAGAGAGACAGAAAGCGAGAAATCACCCCCCAGGAGGCGTCATAGCCATTATGCTAACTGCTATTCCCTTGTGACAATTCTTACTAACTAAATTGTTTTGACAGGTTTTGTTTAAGAAGTATTTAATTTTATTTATTATTTTTAAATTTGCTATAGGACACATATACTCACGAGACACAGACACACACATACAGAGAGAGAGAGAGAGAGAAAGAAAGCTGCTAGGTTCGTTCCAGGTCCAGGATTCAAACTACTATCAGCCATGTGGGAATCTAAGCACCTTAACCACATGCCACCTGTAGGCCCCTTGGCAGTGGTTTTTTGTCAGTTGGAAATCCCCTTCTACAAGTGTGCCTCCTGCTAGGGAATATATAGTTCTTAAAACTTTCCAAATGTCAGGGCCAGCAGATGTCATAGTGGTTACGTTGTTGGACTCCCACACGGCCCACCATGGTTCAAGTCCCTGGATTCTATGGCTTGAAAATCATCCCAAGCACATGTATGTGTGTGCCCAGTGATCCCTGGAGGGGAGGGGCCTAATCCCACTGATTAATGGGGGAGAGGGGATTATGGTGTAGCCATCCCTCTGGGGGGTGCTTTCTCCCTTTCTGTCTCTGCCTCTCTCTCCCTCCAGTGAGTACACTCACCCTAAGGCAAAACTTTTTTTTTTAAACACTTCCCAAATATATAAAACTGGACTTTTCTACTTATTTACCTTATAGTTTCAGAAAGTTTGGGCCTGCCAGGACCAAGTCGTGGTTTCTAACACCTGAGCATTAGTTTTAGGTGGGCTGATCCTGAACTCTTGCCAAACATTTTACTTCACTCAGACAGCATGCCCTCTGAGACACAGAGAATCTTCTGGCAGTTCAGATGACTGTCCTCTGATTTAAATACACAAAATCTTTAGTTATTATTAGTACTTCTCTGGCTTCAGTTTTACCTTTCCCGAGGCCGTTCACACCTGTCTGTGACTTGCTACCCTTTCTCAGTCAGGATTCTCTGATGAGGCTTCTCTCATTTCTATTCTGTCTCCTAGACCTTCAGCTACTCAGATTGCTATAATTATTGCCTCCCACAATTTTTCTGCTTCTCTCACAATTTTTCTGCATTTTAAAATCATTTTTCCAGATGAGCGAGTTTCAGGCAAGGAGGGTGGGAAGGGTCTGAGCAGGGCCAACACTCATCTGGTTCTTGGCTACCAAACCCTTGTGTAGTTGACTTTTTTACTTTGCTGAGCAAGCCAAACTTTTTCAGGAATGGAAAGAGGCAAGGGGCCAGCAGGTGCCATAGTGGTTAAGGCACTGAACCACCACATGGCTGATTGTAGTTCAAGTCTCAAACCTGGTGGCTTAAAACTCATGCTAGGAGGCCAGCAGGTGGTGTGGTGGTTAAAGGCGCCAGATTCTCATATGACCAACCATGGTTTGAATCCCCGACCTGGCAGCTTTCTTTCTCACTTTCCCTTTCTGTCTCTCTGTTTCTCTCTGGTCAAATTAAAAAAAAAAAAAAAGGAATTAAATAAATAAATATTTGGGGGTGGGGGGACAAACAAAAAAACAAACTCATGCCAGGCATGTGTGCATGCATGCCCAAAATCCTAAGAGAATGGAGAAGAAGGGATTGTGGCATGGCCATTTCCCCTGGGGGATGATTTATTGCTTTCTGTCTCTCTCTGTCTGTCTCTGTCTCTTCAGCAAGTGCATGTGCCCTGTAACAAAAATCTTTAAAAGAAGGGGGTTGGCAGATGGTGTGGTGGTTCAGGGTGCTGGACTCTTACATGACTGACAGCAGTTCAAGTACCAGACCTGGCAGTTTGCTTTCTTACTTCCCACCCACCTCTTTCTCACTCCGTCCCTCTCTGTCCAATTAAAATCAGTAAATAAACAAATAAATAAAGTTAAATAAAAAAGAATTCTCTTTAAAAAATCTCTAAAAAAAAAAAAGAAAGAGGCAGAAGAAGAATGAAAGGAAAAAGAAGGAATTAAGTAGATCAAGAGACAAGGAAAAGGCAGCAGCAAAAGCTATATAAAATTTAAGGGAAGTGCCTCACCACACAAACAGGAACAAAACGAAAGACTGTTTATTTAATTGTTGAAATCAAAACATTTCTTGAAGGACTTCCTTACATAATTTCAAAGGCCTCACTGACATATATACAGGGGAAGGGAGGAAACCCCACTCCCCTGTGCTACAAAAACGGTGGGATACAACTAACTGCATGCAAACACAATTTGCATAAGCAGAGCATTATCACAATATGGTATAAAAAAGTTGATTAAGCAAATAGATTCCACATTTTCTAGAACAGGAAAAGGTCCATTATAATTACACTGTGTTGAACCTGGAAAATCTAGGCAGTATCTATAAACGTTCTCAATTTACAGATGGGAATTAAGGTCCAGAAAAGATAAGCTACCCGCCCAAGGTCACTTAGCAAAGAATCTGCATTTGCTATTTTGGAATGGAGTAAGTTGTCTGCTCTCATTTTTTTTTTTTTTTTTTAATGGTAACACTGGCCCAGTCACAGCTAATCAGTAGGCTGAAGCCCCATGAGAAGCGTGGGTTTGATTCCTGGCCTACTTTAAAAGTCTGGTGCAGTGGCTTGCACCTATAATCCCAGCTACCTGGAAGGCTGAGGCAGGAAGATCATGACACAGTGAGATCCTGTCTAAAAAACAGCATGTGCGCACGTGTGCCCAAAATGGTTATCGCATACATTTTGTTTGTCCAAAACTTTAATATATAATAGTTACTCCTTAATTATACCCATTTCTATTTAATCCGTTATTTTCCTGATACAATGCTGTGACTTTTTTTTTTTTTGAATAGTCACCTATTGCACTGAAAGGCTCAGCTGGATTTGAAAACCAGATTCAGAAACATGGCATAAAGGTACAATTCACAAATCACAACTTAAAACAATGAAATATCCATGCCAAATCAAGAGCCACCCCCCCGGTGCCAAACACATGCTTATATTGCACTATGAAGACAGCCACAAATTAAAAGAATTTGCCAAAATGTCTCTTCTTTCTGTAAAATCACCTTTACTCCCACGATGCACTTGTTTTCAAATAGTTAGCATTCACAGTACACCTGAAATGAGTGACATTCATAACGGTCACAACTGTAATTCCGTGTTCAAGACTCTCTTCTGTGTTCAAGAGTCTTGATCATCTAAAATGAGGTAGATACACTTTTCCGAGTTTGACTGGGGTTAATTTTCTTTAGATCTTGATCATCTATATTTTTAAAAGTAGAATTTCAAAATATTTAGCAAAAGACTGAAAATGTCTGAGCACTTTGTCTAAAAATATAATTTTGAAAGATTATGAAAGTTGTTTTACCTCATTTCAATTGAAAAACAGAATAAAAGCATCCAGTGACAAAACTACCACAGATTTCAAAGCTGACGGCCACCCAACACCTAACACATAGAGACCCTTGCACTAGTTCTGAATTGGGGAAGTTGAGATGCACAGGCATGGGCTTAACACGTTCAAGGGGCTGGGTCGGCTGCCGTTCCCTAACCTCTGACCCTAAATTTCAGGTCTCCTCCAGAGTTCAGGCCTGGCTGGTGGCGTGCTTCATAGGCGGTTCTCACGGAGAGATGGAAAGCCGTCTCTGGAGACAGATCACGCTTCAGACAGAAGCCAGAGGCGCAGGCCCCTCTGGGTAAAACCCGGCAGCAGAGCCCGCTGGAAACGCGACGCGGCTGCGTGAACTGGGCGGGCTTAGGCTGCAGCGCAGAAGGCCGGGTTCACCGACCAGGCCGCAGTCCCGGGGGTGTCAGGTTGGGGGAGGCAAACTGGGCACTAAACCGGCTAAAGGCCCCGGGGTTGGTCGCCGAGAGAGATCCGAGAAGGCTGGCAGGGCACTCCGAATCTTTATCTTCTTCCGCGGGGCCATGGGCGAGGCACCCAAGAACTTGCTGAAGGAGCTCGACTTCTTCAAGCCGCGGGCCAGGTCCTGAAGCATGAGGTCGTCGGCCAGGACACCCAGAAACGCACTGGTGGTGGAGCTGAGGATGGAGGAGGCGTTGGTCGCCGAGAGAGATCCGAGAAGGCTGGCAGGGCACTCCGAATCTTTATCTTCTTCCGCGGGGCCATGGGCGAGGCACCCAAGAACTTGCTGAAGGAGCTCGACTTCTTCAAGCCGCGGGCCAGGTCCTGAAGCATGAGGTCGTCGGCCAGGACACCCAGAAACGCACTGGTGGTGGAGCTGAGGATGGAGGAGGCCACCTGCACGGGGCGCCGGGCCGCAAAGCTGCCAGTTCCACTACCCGCCGCATCTGGCTCGGGGGCGCCTCGCAGGCCGGGGGCGCCGAGCAGCCGG